ATGGGGGAGGGGGTGGGGAGACACCCCTTCCTGCCCAGTCCTATGAGGAAGGGCAGAGGACCTCAGGGGTCAGCCTGGGGTCACGCAGTGGAGGCCGGAAGGCGGGGCACGGGTCCCCCCGGCTCCCGCACACAGCGCCCTGTCCCGCAGGACCTGGAGCGGCAGCGTGCACACATCGGCATCATGGTGGAGTTCAGCATCGCCCTGATGAGCAAGCTGGACGGCATCAACCGGCACTCCTTCAACTCCTTCCGCCTCCGCGTCGGTGAGGGCCCGGAGAGCCGGCTGGGCCGCGCTCGGGGTGGGAGGCTGGGGCCCGTGGCTCCGGCGCGCCCGCGCTCAGGTCTGACAGGGCACTGCACGGTCCGGCAGGAAAGGTCTGACAACTCCCTCTTGTCTTACAACGCTGGCGACGGGGCAATTACTCTTGGTTTGCATTATCAACTTACCTTTGAAAGTTTTGAGAGATAGGAAGAGAACACTACGGAAAACTGAGAACCCCAAAATCACCTTCCATAAGTCTTAAAACATACTGAGAACAAAGCAAGTTATTAATCTAACTACTGGGTGTTAGCTAACAGGGCTGGTGCTCAAAGCCCGTTTGTCCTGTGTTGGGAGATGAGCAGATGCTAGGAAAGTGCAAACCTCAGCCCGATCTCTCAGCGAGCAGCTGGAAGAGGGCTGCCAGGGGAGCGCCACTCCTGCCCCCCGAATGAGAGCTCCTGCCACCGGCTTGGGGAGCTCTCTCCAACCCCCATTTCAGCTGTCAGTGCTTTCTGTGGCTGCCAAGGAGAGAGCCTGAGGTTCCGCCTCTCTGACACACCAGCTGCAAATGTCCCCTTCAGGCATAAACCACGGGCCCGTGATTGCTGGAGTGATCGGGGCACGGAAGCCTCAGTATGACATCTGGGGAAACACGGTCAACGTTGCTAGCCGGATGGAGAGCACTGGAGAACTTGGCAAGATCCAGGTACAACTCACCTGGGGCCCCTATGACCACAGGGGGACCCGCGCATCGGTTAGCCCTGATGTGCTCGAGGGACACCAGACACGTGTGCAGCTCGGGGTTGGTTCTGCCTGACCCCCAACAGCAGGTGTCCTTCCTGCTTCCCATGACGGCCGTCCTCTTCCTTTCAGGTTACTGAAGAGACGTGCGCCACCCTCCAGGGACTAGGTTACTCTTGCGAATGCCGGGGACTGATCAACGTCAAAGGCAAAGGCGAGCTGAGGACTTACTTTGTCTGTACAGACACTGCCAAGTTCCAAGGGCTGGGACTGAACTGAGGGCTTCTGGTAGGTGCAGAACATGCTGGAAGTGGATTTCCTTCCCCGAGACAAGCCAAGGGGACCCCTCAGCCCCACGCCAGTCACAAAGGCATTTCCGGGGTTTGGCGGTCACTACCCAGCAGATGGCTGTGCGTGGCTCCCTCGGACTTGTGCCAGAGGGTTTCTGGGAAGGCGCATCAGACCCCAACCCGAGGCGACCACAGAGTCTTGCCACGCACGGGCAGCCAGGCCTCACGTGCCATCCGAGCCCACAGCGCAGCCTCTGGACCGTGCGACTGGCTCGCTCATGCGGGTCAGCAGCTCAGTCCCCTCGGTGCTGTGGCCATCTCCCATGCGCCACATGTACCCTGCCTGGCCTGCGAGTGCACAAGCGGGACCTGTCTTTTCTAGGAACAGAACCAGGACAAGTCGTCCAGGATGGGCTGGGCACTCCTTGCTCCTCAGCCGATCAGCTGCAGGATTCTCCATTTCTCACGCAGGCGTTCCAGGAAATAGAGCTGAAAAGGCTGTTTTCAATCTGTGGTTTTACGCAGTAGGGAGGAAAAACCACAGCGGACACTTACTGCCTCTTGTCATCTCTAGCAGGTGTCTGTTTTAAATGGCTATAGTATTAGTGGAGGTTTTATTCTTTTTAATGACTTCCTAGATGCTAGACAAAGTCTCTTCCCCCCAGTGTGCTTTTTAACCCTTGACATGGCACAAGAACCTTCCGTCTAGTGTTCGTTTCTGGATTGGCCCAGCCGGGGGTGGTGTGGCCCGGAGTGTGTCTCCCAGCAGGAAGGCAAGCGGGGGTAGCCCAGGAAGTCGGGCACCACCTCCTCACCCCGCCCCGACCCGTCGGGCCTGTGTGGACGCTCCCCAGCAGCCTTCCGCGGAATCTTAGCTTCTGTGGTAGAAAGGAGTGGAGTCTGCAAACAGGATGCGGGCCACCTGTAGCGCTTCCTTCCTTTTCTTTAGTCCTCACACCTAACTTGAAGAGCTTCAAAATGAAAAACATCTACTCCACGTAAGCGTGTAGAGGTTGGCCATGTGGGAAGCCAGCCTGCTCGGAAATGCTGGGACGGTCTTGCTCTGAACTGCAGGGATCAAGGGCAAGTGCGAAAAGCCAGGTTTGCGAGCTGCGTCTCAGCGCTTCAGCTGTTGAGAATCAGGAGTCAGCCCGAGCTGTGTTTCAAGGTGAGAAGGAACCGAACTGCCCCCTCCTTTTGCTGGATCAGCTTCGCTGCCTCCTCACCAGAGCGTGCCCGGGGTTTCTCCCCCAGCCGCACTCCACTACAGAGCAGGGATTCCCAGCTCGGGGTCCTCCGGGAACCCCCCGCCATTCTGGGAAATCTTGCACATGGGAGACTTCAACAGTGGACGCGGGGCCGCAGCCAAGGGCAGGAGGACTGCAGCTGACCCCGCGGTCTGCTTGGACCCTGGCTGCGGGCTTGTCAGCCTCAGAAGGGGCTTACCCGGTCCGCCAGAGGGGCCGGGTGCGCCAGCACCGCGAGGCCTGCGTGTCACTAGAAGAGAGATGAACGAGGTACAAGAACTTGCCGTCCAAAGGGATTTTATGGCAAAAATGCTGTTAAGGGGAATAACCTCATTTAAAGACTGCTTTTCTGCACCAACTTTTCATATAAAGGAATAGTTTCCGGTGAGTACTGCACTGTGACCCGTACACTTAATTGGCAGCGACCAGGGCCGCGCAGCAGGGCTCCCCTGAAGGGTTCAGGAAGGTTCTGTCACAGATACAATATGGATGCATGTAGGTGTGCTGGGGCTCTCTGAGGCGGGCCTACTTCTACTCTGGCAATATTTGAGTTACTTTTATCCTTCAACAACAGAAATCCAGTCCTGTCTTTTATTTCCAATTCAAGCACGGTGCTCCGATAAGCACATTTTGGAAGTCTGTTTCTGATGTGCCGACCACCATGTGGGACGGACCCTAAAAGGCACCTGCTGTCACTTTTGTTCAGTGTGTTTTCCAGGGGCCGGGCCCTTTCCTCACAGGTGTCATTCTGTTTTATGATAGGACAAGTACCTTTTCCAACACTGACCTTTCCTAGGGGCCGTGGGGCGGTGTGAAGGTGGCCTCCCCGACTCCAGTGAAAGTCACACCTGAAGTCTTCATTAAGAAAATTTCCTAACAGAAGATCACTGAGCACTGCATACATGGTGTATATAATAGGTCATGTCCAAAACCAGGTTTTGAGAAGGTACATATGAATAACTAGGAATTATTCTGTATACTGACTATTTATAGATCTGTAACATTTGTTTCAAAATGTTATACTTCATTTTTATAAAGTACCAGTGTTTCCACTCTGTTTAGCCTTTCATATATTAAATCAGCAATCTGGAAAAACAATGTCCTAAAGTGTTTTGAATTTCAGTGTTTTCTTGGTCTGCTTGAGAAGATTACTGCCTGAATAATAATTCAAAGATTAAAATTAAGCTCTAAAAAAGACTTGATAAAATACCTAACAATTTTGAAGTTCTTTGGGCATATGGTTTTCAGTAGATTTTTAAGACTGGGTGTGTTGGAGAATCAGTTTCCCTTCACCCCACTTATTCTTGCTAAATGTTCATTTTCAAAGTCAGGAAAATAAAAATAAAATGGCTTCCATCCAGGGGGCAGGGGAGTCTTATAGGGGCTCCGTACAGCCCAAGTCGGGTTCCCTGAAGCAGGCTGCCGTGTGGTGCCTGGTTAGGGAAGAGGACCACATGTCTCCCGGTCTCCCACTCCGTTATCTGCTCAAGCAGCCGACCTTTGTATTTCAAGATAAAAGTAGAGGACTCTCAGTTCAAGAGACATGCTGAGGCACAGGTGGCCTGGGAGACACAGTAAACAGAAATGTAAACTTTGCTTTAAGTTCTGTGATTTCCTTTCTTATTTAGCTTCTTTTATTGTGGTTCTAAGTGACCCTCTCAAAAATGGAAAAACTAAACCAAACAGCACCACTGGACAGGTTAGTGCTATGAAACTTCTGGTGTGATTTCTGGGGGGCTGGGGACAGGAAGAGTGGCATAGGGGACGTACCTCATCACCTCATCCTTCTACAGGAGGACAGCATTCCCATCAGTTATGCCGGGGACACGCACTTAAAATAATCTTAGAATCTACTAGTATTTGTTTTCACAGTGTAACGATGGAAAATCTCACGGGATAGGGATTTTAAAGAAGCATCTGAGCTCTGGTACTGTCTGTATGCCCTAAGGAAAGCGGCACTGTCACTATTCTGACCCAACTGTGCCCAGGCCCACTTGGGATGGCAACAGGTCTGAGTCCATCCTATTCCTTTCTCATGAGGCCCTTCTTTGGATAAATCATCTAGGTGAAATCTGGTAAGTCAGGAACTATTTGGTTGTAATTTCTTTAATGAGTTTTGACAAATGCGGAAAAATGAGGGAGTTCAGTTATTTGGGGGGCTTGCTGCCTTTTTTGGGGGAAGATTTTATTTATTTGACAGATCACAAGTAGGCAGAAAGAGAGTGGGAAGCAGGCTCCCTACTGAGCAGACAGCCCGATGCGGGGCTCGATCCCAGGAGCCTGGGATCATGACCTGAGCCGAAGGCAGAGGCTTTAACCCACTGAGCCACCCAGTGCCCCGGACTTGCTGCTTTTAACGAAGGGTCCTGAAAAGGCTGTTTTATTTCTTAAGTGTTTCTCTATCACTTCCCCCTCAGACCCAGCCTTGGGGCAACTCAGCTGACAGCACCAACAGGGCTCATAGTCCCAGGCTCAGCTTTATTACCTAATACAAGTCCAATCTCTGGAACATTAAAATTAATTGTTCCAAAGTTTAATTAAAAACACAATTTACAAATATTTAATATCTTCTGAAAAGCATTTCCAAGTTAAGAATGAAAAAAAATATGTACATAATATATAATGAAATACCAGTGAGCTTCAAATCCCATCAGGTCCACACTCGGCAACACCAGTCCTTTTCAGTTCTTCAAAATCTGAAAGGAAAAGTTACAGCCTCATTCAGCACTTTTCCCCTTTTAATTAAAAGGTAAAGGTATCATCCAGAGGAGTTAAGTGCTGACAGCTCTTCTTTACCTCGTTCAAGGTTAAAAACTAGATGTACTACTAGGGTATCATTTTTGGGGGTTTTTTTTTTTTTTTTTTTTTTGCAAATGTGTCAAATCTTTGTTTCCCTTACATCTTGTCTAAAGAATTAATAAAAACATTTTATACAATGTCAACACGCAGAGATAATTTTTCCAGTGTTCCTCGAGGGGAAAGGACCGATGTTCCTTTACTCACAACAGCCCTCCATCCTCCCAAAAACAAAGGGCACGTACCTTCTGTTAAATCTACAAAGCTGTTTTCCACGATGGGGGAGGGGATGGAGATCCCCATTGCTTTTCGAACTCCGTACGTGCTGACGATGTCGCCTGGAGTGACTTGCTGTGCAAGTTCTTTCAGATTGTTGGTCACCTGTTCAGCTAGCGAAAAGAAAAGAGAAACAGTTCTAGGTGTTAAAACACGGTTCCTTTACATAATGAACAAAAAACAAAAGAGCAATGCAAAGCCGACCCTGGAACTGCAGGGGCTGGAGGTGAGCCGGTCCACGGATACAAAGATCTTTTTTTTTTTTTTTGACAAGCACAGGACTGTAAACCTATTCTCTTCGTTATTATTTTAATCTTTTCTTTACTGTAAGAAACAGTATACATTCGACATACTAAATATGTTAGTTGACTGTTTGTAGGTAAGGCTTCCAGTCAGCAGAAGGCTGTTCAAGTTTGGGGGGAGTCAAAAATTACACATGGGGGTGCCTGGGTGGCTCAGTGGGTTAAGCCGCTGCCTTCGGCTCAGGTCATGATCTCGGGGTCCTGGGATCGAGTCCCGCATCGGGCTCTCTGCTAAGTGGGGAGCCTGCTTCCCCCTCTCTCTCTGCCTGCCTCTCTGCCTACGTGTGATCTCTCTCCATCAAATAAGTAAATCTCTTTAAAAAAAAAAAAAAAAAAAATTACACATGGATTTTCAACCCGCGGGGCAGGGGAGGAAGGAGGTCAGCTGGCACCCCTAACCCCTGCGTTGTTCAAGGGCCAACTATGTGAATGCAATAAAGGAACCGTCCGTGGTTCACTTCGGCGCTGCTGACAGTGGTGTCGCTTCTCAGAAGGTTTTCCTTCTAAGGACCCCATTCTCCTTTTACCAGAGGTGTAACGTACCGAGATGCATTTCCCTGTACGATGGACCCAGGAGACAGATCATGTTGGGAGGGGGTCTGGTGCTCAGACGCTCATTCTGGGCTTCCTGGAGCTCTCGGAGCAATCTGGTGGTCTCATCAAGTTTCCTCTGGAACATTTCAGCTTCTGTGTGGTGCGAAGAGTAACACACTAAAGAAAACACGGACCTACCTGTGTCTGACCTTGGGCGGTTGTGTCCTATGCTCTGGGGTTTTGCTACTTATTGGCTAGTTTTCTCTCCTCAAAGGAGTAATCCCCCTTAAAAGAAAACACTAGAGACATGCTTTACTCTTCGCGGAAGCATGGCCAGTCAAGATCTTCCTGTGGTTAGTGGCAGTGTCAATCTGGAGTAATGTGACACTAAATCGTGACTGCCCAGGTCATGAAGGGACACTCACCCTCAGAGTCAAAAACTTCAACAGGAGCACCAAAATTTGTTACTGCTTTCAGTGCTGTGAGCCGGTCCCGACTGTTGGAGTCTAAATGCCCCGCTGGCTCTATTTCTGTAATCTGCTTTAAAAAAGGGAAAGGGAAAAAAAAAAAGTTATTACCTGGGCTTATTAAGCCCCAGCGGTGCTAGAATGAGACCTCTGTAAGATGGTTTGTGTTTCCAGGCCACGTTATCCACCTATTCACTTTGGAGTTACAATTCTGATACCTACAAAACCATCCCCGAATACTTGTAGAGTGCTATTCCCCAATCTGGGCCGAACACTATCCACGAAGGCGTACTTCCTGAAAATGAAACGACGTGTCCTACACAACACCCATTGTTTGTTCCACCTGGCAGCCTCTCTAAAGATGGAAGGAACAAGGGCCTTGGTCCTGTCTATGCCACTGGAGCTGGAGTTCCTGGTGGACTGGGACGATGCCTCGGAAACCGAGGCTCACAGGCAGTGTTTTGGCCCCAGTGTATATACTTGCTCTCCCGCAGCAGAGCCTGAGCCTGAGGTGATGGACTTGGCTTCTACTGTACTTGCTTCTACTGTGGGCTCTTTAGTCCCCTCCCTTGTGTTGCCACGCTCGTCAGAGTTTTACTCAGACAAGCCCCAGAGCCCTTCACAAGTCTCCTCCTCCAAACCCTCTCCCCCTCCACATTTCCTCAGAGCCTCCCATCTTCTGGGGAAAAACCTCAGCTTCTCCATCGTCAGGGCCTCCCCTGTGCAGGCCTCCGCACCTCCCCTCCTCTGCTCATAAATCATGCTCACATGCCAACTGTGCTCTCTGCACATGGGCCTTGTCCCCTTGTGTCTGCTTCTGTCACTACACGTGCAGTTTCGGCCCACTTCCCACTGCCTGCTGGGAGAATGTCTTCATCTTTCTAGGCCCAGCGGGCCCAGTGTGCTCTCTGGGAGGACCTCCTCGGCTATGCAGAGCAGCGGGTGTCTGCAATCTGCGTTCCTATAGCGTTCCTATAGCACGTACATTTATGCAGTGTGGTGGGCGGGGCCGGCCCCGGCTCACAGGCCCGTGCGCTGCACCAGCCGCTGCCTGCTCCCCACTCTCCCCAGCGGAGAGAGTGCTGTTATTTACAAAGATACGCAACAAATAATGTTCTTTTAAAATAAAGCTTTATCATTTGGGCCTTTTGGCTTAACCTCCCATTAAATATTTTTTACGAAGAATGAAATACAATCACCTCCATTTCTTTTTCAGAGTCAAGGCTCCCAGTCTGGCCGTCATCTTCAGGTGATGACTAGAAGTTTAAAGACAAACAACGTTTTATTCAAAGATATATTAAAGAGGTAAATATCAAGGAAAATAAAAAGAAATGTTAAGAGTTTCAAGATAAGGAATAAGAATATGGATTACTGGAATTTAATTTTTTAAATAAAAAAAACCAGTCAGATACAGCAAGTGGGCATTTTGAGAGCACTTGTGTCAAGAGTACCTATTACTGGTACTTCAAGATTGATCTTTCTGTGCCTGAGCAAAAAAGCTATGAACATATATGAAGGTATCTGGTAAACAGCACAGAAGTACCTAATAAATGGGAGTCGGTTTTCAACAACAGGTGAGTCTAGCACAAGCAGAAAATAGAGGCATTCTAGGGACTATTTTGCATTGAGAGCAACATTCTCGGATAAGAGAGGATTACTATATTCAAATGCTATGGAGAATGTGAAAGCTGCTTATAATCCTACCTGTCAGAAATCACACACACACATAAACAACAGACAAATGTATCATGCATGAAAATCAATAATGATGCGATCTTTTTGAAAGGCTGTATGATTTTTTTAACCAATTCCCAATTTTTTAAAATTATAAATGATGTATCCTTATATATAACTTTTTAAAATTTTCTAAGACACAGCCTGCAAAGATATGCTGGATCAACAGAGAAACTTTAGATCTGAAATCTACTGCCCTACCCAACCAAAGGAAAGCTATTCAATTGTAGCTGAAGACTATTAATTAATTCAGATTCATGGAAGGGTTACAGGAAAAATATTTCTGAACAGATGTGAAGTGGCATTTTTTTTAGGTCACGTGAGGAAAGCCGTTCCTGCATGAAGACTGTACGGCAATTCTCACTGAACCTGAGGTGCTGACCCAGCACCGCCGAGTCACCCAGGGCCCAGCAGCCACGTGGGGGCAGAGGACAAGCCAACAGCAGCCACAGCCCTCAGGAAGAGGACTCCCGGAGACACACACAGGGTTCTTCTACCTACGGTGACAAGGACATTGTGGAGCTTGACTCTCCTCTACTTATCAGGAGGGACATTTTCTGGTTCTAATCTTTGAGCTGAGGGTGTGATTATTCCAGATGATGAACTATGGCCAACTAAACTGGAGACAGTTTACAGGTGTTAACGGCAGAGAGCAAAGAGGAAACTTCTTACTTTTTTCCTTGTGACCCCACCGCTGTGCTGTTACTGAATAATAAAGGAAAGGACATTCTCTATCATTTTAGTCAACTCAGTTTCAAGCCAGTGAGTAACACTTTCCTTTTTTGTTAGGGTACAGAGCACGAGCTGAATTCTGAGTTGTTAACTCCATTCTGATTCCTACATTCCCAAGATCGGGAGATAATGACGGTATTCTGGCCCTCACAGACCCTGGTAGCTGACTTACCATTTCCGTTCATTGTCCTCCACCCGAGGTCCCCACCCAGGCCGGCCTGGCTTTTCAGGGGAATGCAGCTCAGCTGTCACCCTGGTGACTCCCATGGTTTCATAACACTCAGTGACTAATGCTCAGAGCCAACAATAAATTACCCATTTCTTGAGCAGCCTTCTTACCATCTCCAACTCTTGCAGGGTTCTAGAATGGCCTCCTTTTGTTAAAACATCCAGTAAACTGTCCGCCATCACGTAAGGATAATCCTGGCACGTGGCCAAAAACTCATGGATGCTGAAACAGAGAGAGCCGGAATGTCACTTCCATATAAATCGTCCATTGGCTGAATCTTTCTATCCCAGTCAACTGTTTCCATCAGACACGCCTCACTTTATGTGCCAGGTGTGAGAATCTCCGTTTAGGTCTGTCACCCTATTTACAGATTTACCAGTGACACCTTTATCACCTCGAGCGAACTAAAGAGCATCAAGAACACAGTGAAATGAAATGCTCCTGGGGCAACCTTCAGACAGAAACAAGACTCTCTGAGGCGGAGGCTCCAGGGCTCCGTCCTGGACTTGCTCCTGCCCTTCACTTCCTCCCTGAGGTGACCTTATTCCCCCCGCAGGACTTACACGTGTCCCAGGAGTCCCCGGGTTACCCATCCGGTTCGGACCACGCCCCCTGGATATTCACAGGTCTGTCAGTGTTTCAGGAGAACGTGGCATTCAGGACACCGGCGAACCGGTCACTCACCTGAAATCACTGGGAAGGTCAGAGTCTTCCCCATAGGCTGAATAGATCAGATCCGAATCGTCCTTGCTAATATTTGCAAATGTGGAGTCATAATGTGGAGCATAAGAACTGTAGGGCCCGTAATTCAAGTATAACACTGTTGACAGAAATCAAATACTACAGTACTATTCTTTTACTTGTGTGTCAATCTAATTTTTGTTTTACTAAAGGTTATTCCCTTCTAATTTTAGTACTTCACTGACAGGTATAAAAAATCCAAGGTAAGTATTTCCCCCTCCCAGATCCTTGGGGAGTCATAACTCAAGTGACTTTTTCCCCACAAAGGGGAGACAGAAGAAAGCAAGCATAAAACTCACTTTGAATACTAATAGCTGATTTTACAGCTTCTTCCAGAGTTAATAAAACAGCTGATTCATGTTGCAAAAATACCACCAAGAGAATTAAATAAATGGTAATTATGCTTTTTCCCTCCCCTAACTGCTTGGGTGAGAAGAGAAACACAAAGGCTTACCTGGAGTGACTTTGTTCCTTTTGTCTTCCTTGAACCCCTGCAAAGTATTCACTCCAGACTGAAGCCTTCCAGTTGTCATTCCCAATCTCACGGGGCAGTAGCCTGGTTCTGAAACGGAAGAGCAGTGTGGGAGGTGCACACGGTCAGGAGCTGAGGGGGGCTCCGCGGGCTGTGTGCACGCACACTGCTTCATGCCGTCTCTGTGACTCTGTCCAGGAGCCTGGGTGGCCCTTCCTACACCCAACAGTTACCTACAGAAATCTCGGCAAGGAAGGAGCGTAGCCAGCACCTGCAGCCGATCCTTTTCATCATACTCTACTGTTTTCTTGCAATTCTTTATAATCATGTTGCATTTCACTTAAAAAAATAATTAAGGATTTAAAGGTTGAAACTTAACTTTGATGGAAGTAAACCAGTAGAAAAGGTTAGTAAAAGACTAAGGAAAAATACCTGATTAAAGACAAGAACTCATGATATATTCAGGAAAAACTAGTACCTATGAGGCAGGCTACTTCCCCCGCCACTGTCCAGAATAGAGGCTGTGGCCACAGGTGACCACGGTGACAGAATGAAAGCGCCTGGGAGAGATGTGGCACACCTAAATTGGGTCTGCTCTCCCTCGAAGCAAGCAGTCTGCAAGGAAGATGAACCTGAGAAGTGAACAGGGGCAAAGCTTCCACCGCATAGCAGGACATGGGCCCTTTGGGGGCTGCTGCCATGTGCAGAGCTCAGCCTGGGCCACAGAGACACTGCCTCCAGGAACGGAAAGGCAAGACAGCAGAGCAAGGGCAGACAGACCGTGGGACACAAAGAAGGGGCAGATTGTAAGATGTCACCTAAATCGTTAGCTGCATCTCCTTACCACCGAATCTTTGCCACGACTACACCAGAAAGAGCAGTGTTCTCAGTCTGGCAGCATTTCCGTTGATCCAAGACCACAGAAACTTCTACTACGCAAAGTTCGCATAAAAAGCAAAAAGTGAGTTTTTTTTTTCCCTCTTACCCTGGACAACACCAGTTCCTCTTCTAAGCCAAGGAACCCTGCCAGTGTTTCAAGAGTGGACTGCGATGCTCGAAGACATCAGTGGGCTCCCTGTGCACTCCTCAAACGCATCCAGAGATGCGTCAAGGTCTCTTACCCTCACCCCTCACCCTTGCGTTTTTGGGACCAATCTACACATCACCTCGCTAAGGGATAAGGAAGCCTTCTCTGGCCCCGACACCAGGGCTGCTTCTGCCGCGTGCTGTCACAGCTGCCCTCCTCACGGCGGACGGGATGCGGCTCCTCACACGATGATTCACTTTCGTTCCTCCACTCGCCACCCCAGACGAAAGGGGAAGGGACTCCTCTCTCCTGTTCTGCTCCCTACCTTACACCCTGCTCCACCTCCAGCTCCCAGGCTGTGCCTGCAGCACAACGGTAAGTACTGGAGACTGTTCGCTGAGGTGTCATCGCTCGTTTCTGTGTGGCTGGTGATCTCTCTCATGATGGCAGCATGAAATGGGTGTTTATAAAGTAACATTCTCAGGTTTGCTTATCCTGACATACGCTCCTCCCCCTCAGATGAATGACGAAAAGTTCTTCTTACGTCACATCTCAAACTATTCCCTATACTATCGCCATTAAAATACCACCTGAGAAAATAAAAATATGACTGGGGTTCTAAAGCCATGCTTCCCGACCTTTACCAACTTGCGACCGGCCACAGCGACACACAGCATTAGCAGACCTGTTCTCCCGTGACTAGTATGGAACTACAGGGCATGCATGTGTGTTCTAGTCACTAAAATTTAAAAAGCCAGTCAGATTTATGATGTTATGATAAGGGAGTTTTGAGATACCTCCCGAAATACTGAGTGTACATACCATGGTGTCTTAGAGCCAGAGCTAGAAATTATGTCATTTTCCGGCTTTATTGGTGGGTCTGCTATTCCAGGGACTTTGTATTCTAGAGAACCCTGGACCTATATAGCACCTGCTTTAAGAGGCGGTAAATTCGGGCTAGCTATCAGCCAAAATGCACGGTGTCTGGCCAAGTTCTCTGGGGGAGCTGCCACAGGCGGACTGCTCAGTGTCACCCAGGCTGCTGCTTGTTGCCAAGCAGCAAGTTCATGTGCGTTATGACCTGTGGACTTACCTCCTACAATGGGATCCACAGGATGGAGAAGCCCCAGTGTTGTTGTTCCATCTGGTTTTCTCCTTTCAAACTCACACTGCAATGACCCGAAGTATTCAAATGTCATAAACCATTCTATATATACCGCATTCGTATGCAAGTACATGTGCGTATACATATCTCATACTAGAAAGCCTTAAACTTCATCAAACTAGTATTAAGGGTTATCACTGTTATACTTAGATACTGACTTTCCCACTTGGCTCCATACACACAAGGGCTAATGCGCTGCAGAAATGAAGGTTAGGGAGAACTCAGGATGGTAAAGAGCTGTGTGGGGGGGGCCTTTAGGCCCCTCTGTTCTGCCTACTCTATTAAAGAAGGAGGATACTGGAGACCAGGGGAGGGGAGTGACTGCTGAAAGTCACATATTAATCCACTTCGTTTTAAACCAATGTGCTAAACAATGATTTCAAGAGGCCAGAGTATAAATGTTCATTTTCCAAGTTTAGAACACATTAACCGCACTAAAATCCAGTAACAGAGGAAAAGATTCATCATGTACTTTACAAATAAATTATTAAAACGGACTTCTCTGCGTGTTGTACTGAACTGCTCTACGGCAGGTATGGGTTGAAAGTGCACAAGCAATCTGACTGCACGCCCCCACGACCACACAGTCGGTGGTGAGAAGAAGAAAGACAAAGCCCAGTCACCTGGCTGTTAACAAGCCGCCTGGTCAGCTTCCCTCCAGATTCCTTAACGATGCGGTCTATCTGCTCCTGCTCTCTTTCTATAGTATTGCTCTTACATTTATCTTCAAGTGTATCTTTGTCTTTCCTGTAAACACACATTAATACTAAGTAAAAAAAAAAAAAAAAAAAAAGATAAGATGAAAACATTAAGATCAGTTCCAAACGGGAGCACAACTCAATCGGAGCCATTGGCACTACAGTGGCCCATTAAAGCTCTGTTGCTCCGGCGGCCCGGGAGCACCTGTGACACCCGCGCAGCAAGGCCGACCTGACGCTCGGCTCAGTTCTCTCCTGTGTGTGTCCGGCGCTATGTCTTGGGCGTTTTTCTCAATGCAGTCACACAAATGGATTCTACCTCAAAAGGGACACATCATTTTCTTTTTAAAGTCCAGTTTCTAAGTTTAAAATGAGATACATTTTAAATTATACAAATCTTAGAAACAGAGTAAGAGTACGTCACAATTTTACTTTCTTTGCCTTACGCCAACAGAAATCCCAGCCTGCTCACTAGAACCCTCTTCCGGAGTGGACAGTGAGGTGCGGGGCCTCAGGGCTGCTGGTCAGTCAGTGGTGGGAGCAGGTGGACACAAGCGCGCACGGCCGGGCCTGCCTGGGGGGACCAGTGCTGAGTTACCGCTCCTACCAGGTGCCGTCTGGTGGAGGCCACACACACACCTCAGCAATGGCCCATCCGTTCAGGAAGCAGCTTCGACTATGCGCAGGCTGAATTTATGGTCTCAGACCCTTTATGGAATGAGGTAACAAATGCAGATGTTTTTCTTCAACAGAGAGTTCTATTTCAATAAATTCACAAAGTCCCTAAAGATAATTTACTGGTTTTAAAACTACCTTCATAAGAATACACATTCAGAACTGTTTTCTAAACTATGTTTAAACAATTCCATATAGTGCTTTGTATGAGAAGATGGGAATTATCACCAAAATGGACTTTCATGCCAAAAACCAACCATGACTTGGTCTTCCCAAGGCAGGCACTGAAACAGTATTTTCCCCCCTTAATGGTCTGAAAAAGATAGCTTAACTTAAATATTCCAAAGATTCTTTACTTTTTGTTTTCCTTATTGGGACTCTTGAAGGCTTGTGCTTCAGTATCTCCAGAGTCTTCCCTTTCTCTCGGCCAGCAGCCGCTGTCCTCCCCACTCTGCGAGGTGTCTGTTCTATCTTTCTGCTTTCGACTTTTCTGCAAGTCTGCCATGAATTCTATGCTCTGCTTCAGGCTCTGAATTCTCTCCTAAAAATATTCAAGAATATTCTCATTGCATATTTGTCATTAATTTTTAAAGTGATGCATTTCTTTCTCACAATTTGAGTTTGCACTTACTCTGTCATTAACTAAGGAAGAAAAGCAATTAAACGTAATTATACCAAGAGAGTATGTTTGGGAACCAGGACAATACTGTCTATTTCTTCAATCCAGATAATTTAATTTCCAACGTAAGAGAATGCTTTTTAACTTGATTACATCATCAAAACGTTTGTAGAAAAGAAAGCATGAATAAGTACTAAGTATTCTTTGCAGTACTAACTTCAAAAAGGAGAACTTAGTTTAACATTGTTTAAATTTTATATATAACAGAATGGCTTTTTTTTTTTGAATTTAAGAGTTACCAGGTATTTCAAAAGCTAGAGGATGTGAACACGTGAGTACCCTTATACTCCAGTATCCTAGGATCACCCGAGGCCGCTGGCATTTCTGTGTGAAAACATGCTTCCAGGAGAATAAAAGGTTGCTAGCATAGTTTCTTTCCCAGAAAGCATAATGTTCTTCTTACCAAAGTAGTCTTGTTTCTATTTAGTGAGACATGTACTTAATTTTCCACTGCATTGGTATGCTGTGAAATTTTCTTTGTGGCTGAGGGCTTGAGGTTTCTGGAGGCACATTTGTTTCTAGCAACTATTCTGTCTTTTAACTCTGAGCACTGTCCCTGGATAAAATACGGGCTGCATGGCAACGCCAGGGAAGACTTTTGCAGAATAAGAGAAACTGAAAACTGGAAAGGACCAGAGGTCATTCAAATAAGAACAACATAGCCCAGAAATGCTAAATATCTCACCTAGGGTCACAGAACCAGTAATGAAGGCCAGGCCTCTGGGGTCTCATGAGGGGCCCTGTCTCATCACACTGCTGAATTAGCAGTGCAGACTGTGATAGCATCCAGAATGAGGAGCTGCTGTTTTTACTGAACTTTTATTTTAAGGTAATCTTAAAACTATCCAAGTAATATATTTCATTGTAGACAAAGATTTGGGTAGAGGAGAAAATATAAACTTTGTTAATTTATCATTAAGCGACTATTTCTCTAAGCATTACACATACTAGCAAATTAGAATTATACTGTATATTTGGTAACATGCATTTTTTTCATTAATGAATTATAATAATTTTCCATCCGCATCATTAAATACTCTTTAAAGACTTTTTAACAAGTGTATCGTATATTATCCTGTGTACCATGGTGTAATTAACATTCCACTATTGGACATTTAAATTATTTCCAAGTTCCCACTATTACAAATAGTTCTCATGAACATCACTGTAAATAAATCTCTCCAAGAATATCTCTTTAGGATGAATTCCCAAAAGTGATACTGGATGTCAACTATATTAAAAAAAAAATCCTAGAAGTGAAAACACTAGGTCATCAGGTTTTGATATTTACTGCCAAACTACTCTCCAGAGAAGTTTTATCAACGCATATATCAATGTTTTAAAGTTTCTCTGAATCCTTATCAAACTGAATAGTATTTAAAAGAATGTGCCAATTTGATTTTTAAAAACATGTCTTATTTTAATATACACCTAAAAAATATTAGTGAGTATGATAATCTCTGGAACCTTTTGTGTTTTCCCTTGCGCATGTCACGTAGGTAATTCCTTACCCAGCTCTATCTCGAGGACCTAAATCAGAGACTGGTACACTGCTAGTACCCAATAAATGGTGTTAAATGAATGGGCTTAGGTCACGAAGTTCTCAGTTATCTTTTTATTTCCACTTTAGAATTTTATAAAGCAGAACCTACATTAAGAACATTTTGGAATTTTAAAAAATATCACACACAAAATTAAGAGAATTAGAGAAATCTTCTAAATTTCAACATAAATCATTGGAAAAAGCTGAGTTTGATTTTACTTTGAAAGTCTTTTTTTTTTTTTTAATAATTAAGATTGTCTCTGAATCAGCATACTATTTATTTTCCTCAATTTTACAACATCAAATGACTGAAAGGGCTTGACTCTTTGCCACAGCTAACACTCGCGTGCTTATACATGCATCCTGCACGGCGGCCTGGCTCCACGAGGTAAGGACTACCGAGGCCGAGCAAGGTCACTCAGCATCTCGAGTGCACAGCCAGGACATGAACTTTGATTCTAAAGCTACTGTGCTACAAAGAGTAGTCTGCATTATTCTTTGTAGTATAATGCAGCATTCTAGTATTTATCTAGGTGAGCAAAAAAGTTATTCGACTATGTCCACTCTTCATAAAAAATGTCTACTAATAGTCGCTACTTGTGTGTAAATGAAAAAAATGATAAATGACTGCTCTATAATCTTTACACTGAACATTCAAAACCAGTGATCTTTTAAAAAGACACCATTCATGGGAAGGGTGTGCTGGCCTCCCTTGGGAGTACCGCTATTAGAAGAGTTAACTCAGAAGATCTAAATTTAAATATTTAAAAATCACTGTTGTAAGAATCCCTCCCATTTAGGGTGGAGAGAACAGTCAACAGGAAGCTATAACACAGGATGGGTAGGGCTCCTCAACAGGAAGAGATCTGAAAAAAAGGAAGACAACAGAGAGAGAAAAGGGAAAGTGGAGAAGAAAGTTTATTTTCTGTGCTTCCAGCCATCCCACCCCCAATAAAATTCAAGAGATACCGGAATCTTTTGCATGTTATATTAACTATATTATGTGAAGAAAAGAAAGTAATGGTAAATCAAAGTTGATAAATTTACTTGGGTTACTGCAAATTCAACTTCTCTACAAAAATTTAATGTGCACATTTTGGAGTGACTAAAGACTACATCTGCAGGATGCACTTTCATTTCAAATGTAATAACAAGCATTTGCAGATTTTTAAACCTGGAATATGGCTTGGGGCTGGATTGAGTCTTCCTGCAAGGAGTGGGATAAACATTTTATAGTCCCCTTTCCTTTGTAGATTTTGCCAAAGACGGGTAACTGGTTTACATTACAGTTTCTTAAGTCTGTAGGAAAGGGCAGGACCTGATGCCACCTGAACATTAGGAGTACAAGAATCATCACCAAGGCAAATGTTTTTCCTTCCCAATTAAATGGATCTGAGAATCATTGAGAGCCAAGCCCATACTCCGACATCTGCACACCAAGACAATTCTTCAAATGTAAAACTGTGATACAGATGGTCACTGTAATGAGTGGGAAACTGTGTGCATCTACACATGACTCATTCCTACTCTCCTCTAACTCCTCTGAGTCTGGGCCCAAGCTCTTCACTCTGATTTCTTCCTCGTGCTTCCTGACTTATACCCCCACTCATTTCTTCTTCACAAAATCCCTCTCCTGTCTTGCTCTCCTTTCTCTAGCCTCCTGCCTACCCTAGCTCTGAGAGCTGGCACCCTAATGCTTGCAATTATTTTGGGAGACTGCACTTTAAACCTTCTTCTACACATGTGAGAACACCGAGGCCCAGTGTGGTTCATGTCTTGCCAGAGGTCCACAACTAAGAGCAAGAGCTAAAACCAGAACTCCAACTTCCTGACGTGGTAAGGCTCCAGGATCATCTCAGTTCATTTCCCATCCTACTCAGAGCCATGATTAAAACCTCAAAAGACACGACTTATTTTTTGAGCTCTCCTTTTCTCCCAGCAGGTGCACAGCGAGGCCCTTAATCCCCCTCCCAAACATGCCTTTCATCAGTGGTTGTTCTGAGATGGCACCTATTCTTTTCTGCCACTAACCTCTCTTTTGAATAAACTATCATGTTTATGCGGTCTCGTGAAGCTTGATGATGAAGTGTCCCTCCCACCTCTGCCGCCTTGCTATGGTACCAGTTCTGGTCCTTCCAGGGAGAGTCCTCCTGTGGGGAGGTGGCAAAGAGCAGGTTACTGCTCACTGGAATTCTCTTTGCAGTGGGAGGAGTTCCTATGCTTCAACATCAAATTCCATCCTTTAAAGGGAAGTAGAGAGCTTTCACCTCTAAAAGTCCTCATAATTCATCTAATCAATCTTATCCTGGAATTCCAGGTGATGTTTCTTTCACAGCAAATATAAATCTATCTGAATACTAACCTATTCAACAGCCTCTCAATAAGTATTAGTAGTGAATGCCAATATTTATTTGTATCAATTCCAAATGAGAATTTCCTGCTTCAATTTTCTCTGTATGAAAACTTTCTTTTTTGAATATTTCCTACTTTAATATGATCTGCCTATAAAACTAATACTGTACTGGATCTCTTATCGCTCTAACCAAAAAACAAAGGCATACAGATTTTATAACAGTTACTATTTCTGACAAAGAATTTCCTTTACCTGGCTAAGAATTTTCATCCCTGAGTGCAACAGCTTCTTTGCAGCTTTATAATAAATGGTCTCAGGTTTGTTGTAAATCATAGCATTAGTACACATTAGTTTGAAGTTATCCTGCAGAGAGAATATTAAGGAGAAAAATGCATTTAAAACAAAACAAAGCCCCTTCTTGCCCCTGTTTGAAATCATACAGGTCCTTGAAAAATTAAGGCAGATAAAACCAATAAAAAACCCTGTCCTTTCCTTTCACTGTTTATTAAACAACATTAAATCAATTTAGTAAGTTTTAAAACTAAGAAAACAAATACTAATTTAAATATTGCACTACATTCCTTCCCAAATTAAGACTTTTTTAACGAACTACATAAATGTTTAGATCCTAAGATGAAATTTAATGGATTTCTTCACTATAACCTTGACACACACAAAAAGAATTGGAAGAAAATTCTTCTATTTAATAGAATAATTTTAAAAAATTGTTTTTTTTGAGAGAGAGGAAACGAGATCCAGAGTGGGTGGTGGGGGGAGGGGGATTAGGGGAATGGACAAAGGGAGAGGGAGAGAGAATCCTAAGCAGGCTCCTTACCCAGCACAGAGTCTGACGTGGGGCTTGATCTCATGACCCTGAGACCATGACCTGAGCCCAAATCAAGAGTTGGACCGGTGGTAACAGACTGAGCCACCCACCCGCCCCTAAAATAATCTTAATTGAGTTCATGTAATTAAAAAATATTACTCCTGGTTTTAAAACAAACATCTTAAATTTCCATTTATGAATTAAATAATTTCAAATTTTGATGAAAACTGACAGGGTTAGATTATCACAATATTTTTTTAGGAAATTCAAATTAACTGAGCAAAAATGTTAAAATATTTACACTAATTTTAAGTGTTAGCTATCATAAGCTAAACATAATTTACTGAATGCTGCAAAATCATGCCAATGTGAAATAAACCATACAATCTCAAAGAGTTGGAACATGTAGTCGGAGTAGTCAAATTATCAAAACTGTACTTTTGGGTTAAATTTCAAAGTACCTACATGTGCTGGAGAGCTCAATGCCACTGCATAGTTTCATGGTTAAGTAATTTTTTACACTGTATAAATGTGGCAGTGATTATGCCAAGGTCAGAGTTAAAATGGTAAAAACCCAACAACAAAAAATTCCCCCTAAACAAACTCTTCCTCCATATCCAAAACAAATATTCAAACCCCACTATTTAATAACTAGTGATGACAGCTTAGGACACTTAAATAGAACAAAATAGGTAGACTTAGTATTATCTGAAAGCATATGAGAAGACAGACTCAAGGATCACAAGAAGTCTGGTATTAAAGTAGATGGAAGTACCTGTGGATCCTTGTCCCTGGCCAAATCTGTAGACAATAAGAATTTGCTAGGTCCTGCATCTTCCAGAATGTGATGAAAGCCATTCATTCACTCCTCAAGCATATATATATACACACCAAATTGAACACAAAATTTTCCATGTAATTTTAGCAGGATCCCCCTTAAAGGCCCATCTGTGGCTTCCATCCAGAGGACCCCAGGTTAAGGACCCCAGCTATTGGTTTTCTGAAAAGCTTCCATTCCATTCAGAATTACTAAATATATATTTTGGGAAATGGGAGGCAATCGAGGAAGGACATCAGATAATTATTACTTATAAAAGGGACCACTGGGCCTCTAACCAGCAAGAGAGTACTGGATTATTCCACTGAGCTCATCTGTTAAGGAAATGTGTAGATTCCACTAATCCTAACTGTCATATGCTAGGCTTTACTGGGCTCTGGGGTAATGGCACGTGGTCATTCAAAAAGTTAAATGACCTTTCTGCATACTTTTCAGGTAATTAAAAAAAACTGAACAGCTTAATGAGCTCAATTAACTAATTAATATTACATCAGGCTATTGATTTTTCCCCAAAGGAAAATGCAATAATGTAGAAAACTCTGAAAAGTCAAAGTATTAGTTTATTTCAGTTACAACAAATCTTAATAATCATTTGTGCAAAAACACGTAGGGCACACATTTCTCCTTTCTCCTGTCATTGTAAGAGAAAGATCAGAGGAAAACTATTTACTAAAAGAAAAAAAAAACCAACCCTGTGAAATTTTTTTTCCACTAAGCAGTAAGAAGGTCAGAAATATGCTGAAATAAACCTTTCTAGCCTAACTTTCACCAGATGAGAAGTTTGGAAAGCTTCCTTTTCTGTGAATACAAGAGAATGTAATTCAGGTTTCCAGAGTAAGTGGAATGTTATCTATGCATTCGAATGGATAGGAAAGATAGAATTAAATACTAGTTTTAAATTTTTTTTTTTTAAAGATTTTATTTATTTATTTGACACAGAGAGAGATCACAAGCAGACAGAGAGGCAGGCAGAGAGAGAGGGGGAAGCAGGCTCCCTGCTGAGCAGAGAGCCGGATGCGGGGCTTGATCCCAGGACCCTGAGATCATGACCTGAGCCGAAGGCAGCGGCTTAACCCACTGAGCCACCCAGGCACCCTAAATACTAGTTTTATTCATAAATCTCAACCGATTGATATGTGGATTAAAAAAAGGTAAAAAGATAATCTAACCAATTAGGGTCTAGTACTTAGGTCAGATGAATACTACAAAGTTTATTTAGAAAAAATAAAGGTAAAATAGGTATTATCTACACCAGTTAAGTTTGGGCGGTGTGATACAGAGAAAATTTCTGAAAACACATGGTTGCTTTCTTTGAAGGTCAAAATGAAGAGTATGCTGTTGAAATCAACATACACCACAACTACTTAAAGATGGAAAAACTTCCACTGTAACATCAGGCACACACATCATCCTCTCGTCCCTTATGTGTTCTTCACTTTTTAAAAAATTCCCTTCCTCTCTTTTGAAGAAAATACGCTCAACAAATATAGCCAAACTGAGTTTGGGAAGCAACTGACTTCCATCAAAGAGAAGTGTAATTAAACTTTTGTTTACTATTTCTGGACAAGTCAACTTCTCCTCTATTTGAGAGACATGCTACACTTTAGCTGTCTAGAAACAGAAAAGGAAACTACTTTGTCACAACTTTCATTTCAGTATCAATTTTACTCGTATTGGTCTGAAATGAAAAATGACATTTTTTCATTTTATTTTATTTATTTTTTTTTAAAGATTTTATTTATTTATTTGACAGACAGATCACAAGTAGACAGAGAGGCAGGCAGAGAGAGAAGGGGGAAAGCAGGCTCCCTGTGAGCAGAGAGGCCGACGCGGGACTCGATCCCAGGACCCTGGGATCACGACCCGAGCCGAAAGCAGAGGCTTAACCCACTGAGCCACCCAGGCGCCCCACATTTTTTCATTTTAAAGTTTGAGAATATATATTGTAGAACATATGAAATTCAAAATTTTTCTAAAATGCCCCCAAATAATAAAAAGACAGCAGATGGCTTAGTTTGTCTGGTTTTCTATCACCAAGCTCAAAAATGTTTTCTGAGACAGAAAAATACAAACATTTTGGATATTAAAATAAATTTAATTCTCTGCAAAATAAGAAGTCAATGAGAAAGCCTCCTATAACCAGATATGCAGACTTCTACCAAGTATATATATATAGTATCCAAGAGTTTGACTCTCAACTGAATAGTTATGTTACTCTGGTTAGTTTTCTAATCACAACGTAAGTAACTATGGTTACCTTTAGTTCTTCTATGGACTGGTAATCATTGTTCTTAATCTTTTCTTTCATGGTGCTAAAATCCATTGGGTGCTTAATGATCATGGAGTAGCCGGGAGCAATAAAATCAGTCACAGGAAATGAAAAGAAAGCACTTGGGTCTTTTCTGTGAAGATATGAAAAAGGCAGTTTTATTTCTACTGCAAACAAACCTACTGGTCTGGGCGCAAAAGTCAGGGGAAACATTTCAGTGCAGAAAGAATCTGTAGTATGCTAACATGCTCTTCACTGCAAATTGAAAGAATGATTTTATTTAAAAAAAAATTTTTTTTTTATTTACTTGACAGAGATTACAAGTAGGCAGAGAGGCAGTCAGAGAGAGAGGAGGAACAGTTTCCCTGCTGAGCAGAGAGCCCGATTCGGGGAACGATCCCAGGACCCTGAGACCATGACCCGAGCCAAAGGCAGAGGCTTAACCCACTGAACCACCCAGGCGCCCCATGGAATGATTTTATTTTTTAAAAGACTTTTTTAGGGGCGCCTGGGTGGCTCAGTGGGTTAGGCCACTGCCTTCGGCTCAGGTCATGATCTCAGGGTCCTGTGATCAAGTCCTGCATCGGGCTCTCTGCTCAGCGGAGAGCCTGCTTCCCTCTCTCTCTCTCTGCCTGCCTCTGCCTACTTGTGATCTCTCTCTGTCAAAAAATTAAATAAAATCTTTAAAAAAAAAAAAAAAAAGAATAAAAGACTTTTTTAAAAATTTATCTGACAGAGAGGGAGAGTGAGCACAGCAGGGAGAGTGGGAGAGGGAGAAGCAGGCTCCCCACTGAGTAGGGAACTCTACGTGGGGGCTTAATCCCAGGACCCTGAGATGATCACCTGAGCCTAAGGCAGATGCCTAACTGAGCCACCAGGTGCCCCTGAAGGAATGGTTTTAAAGACTCATAATAACAAGGTTAAGATGTTTTATATACTAGCTGTACCCTTAAGACAGAGAATCTTTTAAAATATGCAGGCTAATAAATCTGTAGCACCTCCTACATAGGGAAAAATGAAACAAAAGATCTAAGACTAACTGACCAATGTCATGGCTTTTGGGAGATAAGCACTATATATTTTTTTCAACCATAGGGGAAAAGATGGAAAGAATAACTGTAATGCACACCTACAATCTTCCATACTGATATATAACTGTAAGCTGTGGACTCCTAATGGGCCACACAATTCACGTGAGTATCTGTATTTTCTTAATCAGTGGCTCTGACTTTTGTGTGTGTAGGGGAGTACTCAAAAAACTGCCATTAAAAAGGTCCTCATATGACCCCCAAACTTAAGAACCAGTGCTTTCTATTGTAGGCTCTCAATTCTGGCTGTGCATGAGAATCAAGAGAGGAGCTTTAAAAAAAAAAAATTCCAGGTTTGGGGGGTGGCTCACCCTAGACCCACTACATCAGAATCTCCTGGGAAGGAGGGTCTGTCCAGGCACTGGTACTGAGTACTGGTATTGCAGTATCTGGGCTTGGTAATCCTAGTACTGACAGGGTTGAAGACCACTGTGTATGATTAGGTCATTAGATTGATTTTCTCCTCTGGAAATTTGGCAAAGCAAAGTTTTCTTACTCCAAATAATCATTAACAATAAAAATGGTTTAAAAAGTAGTAATAAGAGCAACTTTCAGAATGTATTTACCATATGCAGGACCAATGGAAGGTGCCTGATGTATTTTTTATCAAATTCTTACAAAAACCATCAAGGTGGTGGCAGCCTCACTTAGAGATGAGGGAACTGGGGTTCAGAGGTCAATTTTTTTGTTCTAGGTCATAAATCTGATAGAAGATAGAGCTGGAATCTAAACTCAGCTGTTTGTTTTTCCTTAGCAGGATGTCTAGGCAGTGAGACTAGAAAATAAAGAATAAACAAAAATACCCAGTCTGTCTATAGTAGTTACTATGCATAACAACACTGATCATCTCTGGAGGACTTCTTCAGAGCAAATTATCTATACCCACCCTTGAATCAGACATTTTAACAGAACCCTAACCAACTACACCATTTACCAGCATTTGGGCTGAGCTGAAGGATGAGGAATCACTAATGAGCATTCAATAAATGTGGCTCTGAGTTCTAATTCCCAAAATGTTTGGAGAAATGTCAACATCCTTGGACTAAGAGAGACCTTTTCTTTAAAGATTTTATTTATTTATTTGAGAGAGAGAGAGAGAGAGATATGTCACAAACGGGGAGAGGCAGAGGGGGAAGCAGGCTCCCACTGAGCAGGGAGCCCAATGTGGGACTCAACCCCAGGACCTGATTATCATGACCTGAGGTGAAGGCAGACGCTTAACCAACTGAGCCACCCAGGCACCCCTAAGAGAGACCCTGTTAAGTGGATTTCTTTTAAGTTGACATCATTAAGCTACATCCTGGTCTCATGTTACAAAACATAAAACTTCAAAGGGAGCCAAAACACTTCAAAATCATACAGTCTAATAGAGTCAGAACACCTACTGTTTACCTGTTCAAATTTGGGGACAAGTAATGAATGACTTACTTAAGTGTAAAGACTTGAGATGTAATTTTCTCATTTATCCTGTTAACACCAAAAAGGGAGAGAGGCCACTAACTTCTCGTCTTAATTTCAAAGCTGGAGAGGTGGTGAATACTGAGAGCACAAGAGGCTTTAACTTACAAAATGATTTATAATGTGTTCTGGGGTTGACACAGGACAACCCAGTGAGAAGAAAGTTCACTAAGAGAATGCATGCCCTCCACCCATGAATCCTCTGTAAATAATAGGTCTTTGAACTTAAAATTCAAATTCCGAGTAGAGACAGGTATCAAAAATATGTATTTTAATAAAAATGGAGTTATTTTTTTCCCCTTTTATGAACTTAACATTGGTTTAATCTAGATACTGTAATTTTTAGAACAAAATTTTGCATGTAAGAAAAGGTCACAAATTCTCTTTAGTTTGTTTCTTCTTTCAGACTTAATAATTACTGAATATTCACAGCACGATAAGCACTGAACAAATATATAGAAGGTATTTTCATCTATTAGTGAAGTGAAAATATCTGTATTGTTTATTCCTGGTTTAAAATTTCAACATCAGAAGTTACTTTAAAGAGAAATTTGCCATTAAGAGTATTATGTAACACTCTTCAAGTTGCCAGTTAAAACAAACCAAAGGAGAACATTTTTAAAGTCAGCTTCTTAAAGTACTTTATACTGCCAGGCAAAATATTTATCATCCACTTTAAAATCACGTACATTTGGATTCAGGCCACGAAATGTGGCTTTAAATAATCAAAAATAGAGAAGTGGTTTGGATCCTATATTTCCCATTTTAATTTCCAAGTTATAAAAATGTTGGAAAAAACATTTACCTCTGTAATTGTCTCATCAGTTGATTCAAAGCTTCTTGAAGGGGTGTCTGTTCTACTTCTAAAGCAAAGAAGAAAGGGAAAGAGTATTTTCAAAAGGAAGATTCTAGAGAGTATTGTTTAGCTTATTTTCTATGAGTTACCTCATATCCATCATTAACTATCTCACACAGCAATTCCATTTCTCTTACAAATATACTGAACTATGAAAATTTCAACTCAAAATTGAAGCTAATTTAAAGCTCTTATGCAGTGACAGAAAAAAGAACACTTCAAAAAATTCAATTAAACAGCTTTTAAAATTTAACTTAAAAACTAAAAACCTACTTTCCCTGGCTACAACCCTTAAAATAATTTCAGCCTCCTCATTCACAGTAGTTAATGCAGAGTTAGTCCAACCTTCTTGTTTGGCTAAAGAGCTTGCAAGAGGCTTCTCAGGAGGCAAGTCTAATCTTACAGGGGCCTGGCACTGGAGGTCTTTTTCTGCCTCATTCTCCACACGGTCCCGATCTCGCTTCTTTTTATCCTCCTAAATGGAACAAAGGGAAACAATTTAGAATTACTTCAGAATTAATACCATAAAAACAAACAATACTCATTTCATTGAAAAAACAAAAAACAAGCAACAAAACCCAAAAGAGCAAAAAAAAAAAAAAAAATCACTCAGAAAAGATAGTCTTAATAATGAAATCTTAATGTATTTTACTGCCATCTACTGGAAAAGGAGAGAATCACAGTTCAAGGGCAAGGGCGGGGGTGGGAGGTAGTGCTTCTATATCCCAGAAATAACCAATTAGAAAAATAATTACTATACACAAAAGATAACATACCTAGGAATAAATCTAATAAAAGATGCCCAATACCCTTTGGGAAAAATTATGAAACATTATTGAAAGTTCACTGTGGAAAACCAGAATAAAGGAGATATACCATGTTCATGAACTGAAAGATAATCAATTCTCTCCCAAGTAATCTATAAGTAAAATGTAAGTGAAAATTTAAGACAGAATTTTTCATGAAATTTGACAAGCCAAGCATAGAATTTATCTTGAAGAGTGAGGCATCAAGAGTATCTACACAATTTTGAAAAAAAATCACAATAAGATGTGTCATATCAGACAGTATTTGTATAAAGTGATAATAATTAAGACAATGTGATCTGACAGACAAACAGACTAACATACAGAGTCCAGAAACAGACTTGTAACATAGAAAAGTCTTGTTATATCAGGGGTGGCATCAAAAATCAATGACAAAAGGGTAGTGCTGGGATAACTGGATATCTACATGAAAAAGAAAATAAAATTAGATCTCTCCTTCATATCATACACAAAAGGAAATTTCAAGTAGACTAAAGACTTAAATGTACAAAGCAAAGCTTTAAAACTTCAGATAAATAAAAGGAATCTTCATGACCCAAGAGTAGGGAAAGATTTTCTTACCCAGAAGCAAAGCCAAAACACTAGCTATTAACTGAGATAAAGTACTTCTAACACAAAAATCTCATATAAAGTATTAGCAAAAATCACAAAGAGCATTTATTCAGGTAAACTTCAGGTAAAAAGGAAAATGGGTAGAAAATGGGTAAAGGATATCACAGGTAATTCCTACAAGAAACCTGAAATAAAAAAAAATATGAAAACAAGCTCAAGCTCCCGAGAACTCTGGGAATTACAAATTTAAAAATTAGAATGCATTTCATATCTCTGATTGACAAAAATTAAAATGCCTGAAAATGTCAAATCTTGATGAAAATGTAGAGAAACTGGGCTCTCATACCTTATAGATGGGTGAGTAAATAGGTATAATAACTAGAACAATGAACAATATCTAGTAAGGCTGATGATGCCTTTACCCTACTACTCAGCTATTCTATTCTTGGGCATACACCCTAAAGAAACTTCCTTTCACACAGTATACATGAAGGATAGGTATAAGAATACTTACTGCCACACTCTGAAATAGTAAAAAATTATGAACAATCCAGTATCTACCAAAAGAAAATGGATTAATATGAATATTTAGACAGCAGGCAAAATTAATAGGCTAAAGTTACACTGTATCAAAATATATGTTAAGAAATATAATTTCTAGAGACAAAAGTTGAGAATAAGTGTTACTAGTTCTATAGTTTGAAAACGTGTATATGTATATTATTCACAGATCTATGTAGAAGTAGTAAAATTACAAAAACAAATATGCAAGCGATGCACATGAAACTCATGAAAATGGTTCACTCTAGTGCAAGGGAGAGAGGAATGAGATTCTGGAAGAATACACATAAGGCTTCAACTGGATCTATACTCTTAATTTCTTAAAAACAAAAACCCCAAAACCAAAAAACATCAAGCAAAAGGTACAATGCTGAAATCTGCTAAAGCTGGGTGGTTGGTATCCAGGTAGCAGTTTTATCATTTTTTAAAAATTAAATTTCTAATAAAATTGCCCCAAAATGTCATTTTATGACTCTGAGAATCAAGATTCTCCACAGGATCTTATCAACTCCAGAACTATTTTCTTGGCTTATGTCCTCATTTATTGTCCTAGTATCTAGGGCAGTGGTTCTCAAAGTGTGCTCCTTGACCAGCACCATCAGCTGGGAAATTGCTAGATGTGTAAATTCTGAGTTCCAATTAGGTTTTCAAGCTTCAGTGCACATCAGAATCACCTAAAGAGTTTGCTGAAACCTTAATATCTTGGCCCTGTCTCCAGAATTACCCATCCAGTAGGTCTAAGGTAGAGCCTATGAGTATTATCAACACGTTTCCAGGCCATTAGGGTGTTGCTGCTATAGGAAACACACTGAGCTATCACTGATAGAGGGCTTCCCTTCTAAGGGTCCAAAGAATCTAATACAGAATGTATGACTGGCTTAAAAGCTCCAGAGAAAAATGCTATAAACTGCACTCATTATGCCCTTGATCTCAGTTACTATCGAGTTGACTGGTGTCTTTTATGGCTTCGTGACAGACTCTGGAGCAGCAAATCTTGACTTTGGAAAGTTTGTATCTTTTGCCCAGAAAGCTTGGCATGAATCTTTGTAGGCTGGAAGATTTCCACCTGTTCAATGGAAAAAGACCCCCTAGAGACTCAGATTCCTTCCTAGTAAAAGTAAATTGTGGAGTGAGGACAGCTTGGAAGGCAAAGCACTCTCCTAGGTGCAAAGAACTAGGGCCATAGTCCCAGGAATCTAGAGCAGGGGTTGGCAAACTTTTCTGGTAAATGGTCAGATAGTATATAATTTAGTTTTGTGGTCCATAAGGTCTGTCACAACTACTAAGCTTTGCCGTTGGCATGAAAGCAGCCACAGACAATACATAATAAATGAGTTTTATCTGTGTTCCAATAAAACTTTATTTATAAAACCAGGTGGCACCGGCCATGGTTGCTGATGGTCTATGGGCTCAAGTTCTAGCCCCAGCTTCATCCTTAACACACTCTGTGACCTTCTTAGGCAACTCCTTTTATCATGAGGCCTCTTCATCATCCATAAGACAGAGATTTAACTGCTGATTTTATTTATCCTAGAATATCAATGAGATTGTGAAATGAGGTCAAGTAATAGAAAAGTTGAAAAAGTACCAAAGGAAGGTACTACCTGATAACTTTATCTTGTCAGCCTGGTCTACAGTAACCACCTTATTTTCAGTGACAAGAGAATATAGCCTTCTGGGCTAGGGTCCAAAAGAGAAAGAGCATATAAAAACCTACACTCAGAAACTACCCTAAACTGAATGGAGATACTGTAATGTATTAGTGGCAGATTAGGAATTAGCGGACATGGCATCTAGTTTACCAGATTGTGATCTTGAACAGGTTACCCCACTCACTTACTCTCAGTTTCATTTACAAAACAAGACGCTTTGAGCTCTACAGTTCCCTCTCCACTTAAAATTCTGATTTCAACCTTATTTTCTTCATGATTCAGAATATAGTAGAGAATCTTCCTGCAAATGTCCCTTACAAAAGGTTACAGAGATGTAAAACCAAAAGTTAACACAGTTATGCTCAATAGTTAGTGCATTCTGCCAGTTACATATAGAGAATGAAACAAAAATACTAGAGCCATTTAACTTCAGTCAGCCAAGGAAGAGGGTTTAGTTACAGTTTATAAATGGGTTTGCCACTTATTAGCTATCAGATTGTACATAAACTGTGTAATTTGGGGGGACTAATTTTCTTATCTCTAACATACACAAAAGGGGCACCTGAGTGGCTCCATCGGTTAAGTGGTCTGCCTTTGGCTCCGGGTCCTTTGAGCCTAAGCCCAGCCTTGCCTCTGGCTCCCTGCACTGTGCAAAGTCTGCTTCTCCCTCTGCCCCTTCCCTCGCTTGTGCTCCCTCTTTCTCTCAAATAAATAAAATTGTAAAAAAAAAAAAAAAACACCTCACAATAGTACCTCAGAAGATTGTTTTGAGGATGAAATAAGATAGTGTATGTGGAATTCCAGTGAAGTACTCACTCACAGTGTTCACTCATTCATTCATGTATTCAGCAAATAAGTGAGGTTCTACTGTGTGGATACACACTGGTGGATAAAACACACACAGCCCTGCCCTTAGGCAGCCGAGAATGTTAACAACAGAGACACGCATTAAACTCATTAAAAAAACCCAAACAGATTTCATGGGGAGAGTAACTGTCGGGTGAATCTAATTTAGACTGGACAAGTGTGGGAAGGCTTCTATAAGGAAGTAACATTTGAGCTGAGATCTGAAGGACAGAATTTAGCCAGCCTGCTGGGGGGGTGGGGAGGTGGAAAGAGCATTCCAGACAGAGGAAGTATCCTTTGTGCAAGGTCCAGGCAGCAGAGGAACCATGGCTTTCTGTTAACTACAAACACACTGGACTTAATTTCAGACTCTAATTTATTCACAACTCAATGGCAAGTTATTCCTTTGCGAACGACACTTTTGAAGCAAATCTCTCTTCATATTATGATTCCAACACTCACTGTACTATGTTACAAACACATCTGTCTCTGTCGCTGGAGTTCCTCGTGGGTAGGGTCCCCTGTTATTTTCGGCTCTGTACCCCCAAGCTCAACAATGCCTAACACATAATACTTGCAGAATTACAGGAAACAGCATGAAAAGAGAAAGTGAAATATGCAAATTAACAGCTGAAGTCCTTAGTTTTAAGGACTGTCCTCCAGGTTGACTACTTTTGGAGATCTAGATATAGATACAAAGATCTCTAACTATATTCAAATAATGCTTCCAATGTGCAAAATAATTCCAGAACTTCCCTGTAACAGGTGATTTTTAAAATTTTTTTTATTTTTTATTTTTTTAAAGATTTTATTTATTTATTTGACAGAGAGAGGTCACAAGTAGGCGGAGAGGCAGGTAGAGAAGAGAGGAAGGGAAGCAGGCTCCCTGCTGATCAGAGAGCCCAATGCGGGGCTCGATCCCAGGACCCTGGGATCATGACCTGAGCCAAAGGCAGAGGCTCTAACCCACTGAGCCACCCAGGTGCCCCGTAACAGGTGATTTTAGAATGTAATTGAAAAATCAGTCTTACTACTTT